TGTGGGTGAACAGAGAAATAGTGGTTGAAAAGGGGGGGGGGATGGGTGGGTGGGATGACATTGAGAACATATTAAAATTAAATAAAACTTTTTTTTAAAAAAGTAAGCAATTTAAAATAAAATGAAAAGATCAATCCTTACCAAAAGGTTTGTCGGACATGTTGTTTTGAACTATAGGAACACGATTTTTGTTTTTGTTTTGACGAAGCTACTTAAAAGGGTTGTGGGGGGGGGGGAATGTTTTCACTGATGTCTGAATGATTTTTAAACCACCGGAGATCTTTTTGAACACCGGCTAAGCTCAGAGAGTTTAATACGGGTGTTTCTCGTAACGGAATCCAAGAATTGTTCAGTTAATGGTCCATGTTATCCAGAAGAAAAAAAAAAGAGAGATTGTATTCTGTGAACGGATGTGGGATGTTGTTTGTGTCAATGAATAACTCTGAGATCGTGGTGGTGTTGTTGAGCGATTCTCGCCTACAGCTCGTTTTTGTTTGGTAACAGAGGACGCAGGCACGATGGACACGACACATACTTGAGCAACGTTTCCATGCGTAACATTGACAATAATTGTGGCAGGTGCTCATGTTTGAAACTGTGAGTCACCAACCATTCATGCACGTTTAAAAGATATTCTAACTGGATTATTGAAATCTGTAAGACTGTGTATTAGGTTTAACATGTACAATACTTTATAGGAATTTATTGGAGTTTAATTTCTTTATTTTAATTTTACGTTCCAAGTCAGTGTGCAATCAGCATTAGATTTTTAAAACTTTTTTTCAAATTTGAAAAAAAAAATTTTGTCTGAAAGATCTACATAAAAATATAATATACATAAGGTGAAAGTTGAAAATAATTAATTAAGAAATTGAATAACACAAACAGTTTGTTTCTTAATATTTTTTTTTTTTTAATTTTGATGTCATTAGACTGAGAATCTCCTAATTTTGTATAAAATTCAAATATTAGTAAACTATGGTTCATGAAAATGAAATTTCGCAATAGGATTAGATCATCAAATGTTACGAATAGTCGACCTCAGAAATAAGTTGTTTGTGATTCACATATCTGGTTGTTAACTAAGACTAGTTGCGTCTGCTAATCAACGCCAGCGAGTTGTACTTGGAGTAGGGGGATAACTTCTATGTATATTCTGCATGGACATTGAAATAAAACGTACAATACATTTTGGGAAAATTTGAATAAGAATTGATAATAATAAAAATCAAAACTTTGAGTCATTGGAAATGTAATAACGTTAAGATATTTTAACGTATGTCGTCTCATTTGCATACTTTTTTAAGGGATAAATGATACCAATAGCCATGAACTACAATGTGTTATGTCATAGGAGTTAGAAACAATGAAAGCATGCGTTTAATTATACCTTAGCCAATACGTGTGAGTAATGTCAATCTTCTTTGGTGTGGGATTGAATTCTCTCTGACAAGGTAAACAGCCGAATGTACATTAGCATGGCGCCATTCCTCCACAGCCAGTCATTAGTGGGAGGCATTTACACCGCAGTGTCAGGAGGCATTTACACTGCAGGATCAGGAGGCATTTACACTGCAGGTCTAGGAGGCATTTACACTGCAGGATTAGAAATTTTAAACATCACAGATCCATCGTGATTGGAGCGGAAAAGTTGTTAAACATCACGGCTCTATCTTGATGTATTGCAAAAAAAAAAGTGTATATCAGAGAACTATTGTGATTGTGGACAAAACGTGTTAAACATCATAGCTCCATTGTAATTGTGGCTAAAAAAATTAAACATATAACTCAATCGTTATTGTGACAAGAAAGTTGTAAAACATCACAGCTCTAACGTGATTGTGGCAAGAAAGTTGTAAAACATCACAGCTCTAACGTGATTGTGGCAAGAAAGTTGTTAAAAATACAGCTCCATCGTGATTATGGCAAGAAAGTTTTTAAACATCACGACTCCCCCCGTGATTTCTTGCAAAAAAAAACATTTGTTCAACATCACTTATCCATCGTGATTGTGGCAAAAAAGTTGTAAGGATTAACAACACATATGAACGATGGATTCTGGATAGTAAATACATAATTCAGACTTTATGTAAAGGTACATTAACAAAGATTAGACCACCAAGTGTGGCACAGCGAGGCTAATGCCTAGCAGCTTAAAAACAAACTACATCCACCGAGTCGCCACCCATCCAATAAAAAGAAAACACAAAAAAAAAGAGCATTTGTCCTCACTACCAAATAAGAGTTCCCGGAATAACAACGTCGAAATTTTAGAGCCAAAAGTGTGATTTAAATACAAAAACACCATCGAAAGACGCAGTAGTCGAGATGCCAGGAGAAAGGACAGTTGAATAAGTGGATAGCCTCCAAGAAAACATTTCAATCAATCAGAGCTGATGACCAGTAGGATGATGTACACCAGAAGTTGAAAGTGAGTGAGCACCCGCTGATCTACAGAAATGAAGAGTGGATTTTCACAGCTATGTCTGCCGTAAGTAGATTTTTTTTTTTTTTCGTTTTCCTGAGAAACTAATTCAAATTCTCCATTCCGCTAATACAATTATTTGTATACATTGCAATATTATTCTATTATACTTTTCCTTATGCAGCAAGTATTTTCAAACCTTTCAATGTATTTCATCATATTATTGTATGCAATTCGGTCTACCAAATATACACTGTTACTGTCTATTTATATTACATGTCTTACTTATATTTCTGAATGTACTTCCAAAAATTTCTCAGTTAATTTTTTGCTCTTTGTCTGAAAAAAGCTGTAAGTCTCCTCCATGTTAATCCACATGTTGGCTTGTCATTAGTTATGTAGTGTTGCGTTTGTTTTAATTGTGGTAAAGTATAGATTTGTTTAATTTTTTAAAATATTTTTTTTTTACTTTGTACCGTGCTTCGAGCCTTTGGGGATGAAGCGTGTTTTTGAAATAAACTGTATTATTATCATTATTATTATTATTATTCTGAACAAACCAACACATGATAAAAAAAAAGTAACCTTGCTATTCAGCTCTGAAAAAAAAAAACTCACAGCCTGTATTTGTATACATCATTGCCATTATGATTTCCCCAAACTTTTCTGTAAATAATCAAGTTTCAAATATATTCTTATTATGATTGGGTTGAGTTGGATACGAAACCCTGACGCCGGATGAGAGTGTTCGCGTTTTATATTGTATAACGTATAATTAAGATGAAATATGACATAAACAAACATCACACGAAAATCACAATAATTAAACACACACGGGTATTCATCAGAATTGATCAGCCTCGTCATTGTTGACGTTGTAGATGTCTTCATTTAGTGTTGACACAAACTCATTCTCCAACAATTATTGAATTGAAATTGAACATTAAATTTTGTAGACGTTGTGTACAACATGTTGCTTTTTGGTGTTGTTGTTAATTTAAGTTTTATAAATTCATTTTAAATATGAAAACGTTTAAAAATTGCCCCTTAAGGAGTGAACACATAAGGAGGCTGGGTATGGTGACCAAAATGTTGCGGGGGCAGGGATTGCATCATGGGTTACGCCCCCTGACCTGAGTTCAGTCCGAAAGGGTCCTATTTCGTTTGAGATTGTGTGTGTGTTATCTTATACCTAAAATGTTCCATTATGTGGCTATCTACCCTTTGAAATTTTTTTTACATCATGTGGTTGTGCCCCTTGTGAATAAATAGTACGTCATCGTTGTCTCCCAATGAATAAATATTACATCACGGGGCTCGATCCCTTATGAATAAATATTACATAATATGTTTGTCTCCCCTATTAATAAAATATTACATCATGCGGTTGTCTTCCCTATCAATAAAGTATTACGTTACGTGGTCATCCCCCCTGTGAATAAATATTACATCATATGGTGATCTTCCCTACTAATAAAATATTACATAACGTGGGTTGTCTCCCCTACAAATAAAATCTTGCATCATGTGGTTGGCTCTCCTATGAATAAAATATTACATCATGTGGTTTTCTCCTAACGAAAAAATACTACATGATGTGGTTGGCTTCCCTATGAGTAAAGTATAACATGATGTGATTTGCTCCCCTTTGAATAAAATATTACCAAATGTGGTTGTCTCTCCATATGAATAAAGTATAACATCATGTGATTGTATCACTAACATATGGTTTTATCCCCGCGATATACTAGTAACACTGAGAACGACTGTTTTAGACTAAAATTACTTTGTAAAATCCATTCGGCTTAAAGGTTATTGTTTTTATCTCTGAAACGCGTACAACATGCGAAAAGCTGAGTTCTAGCCTTGACCAAACTAGGTTATTGTTATTTATAGTTAATGTAAGAAAATCTGAATTACGTCATTTATTCCATGTTCTATTTAATGACTTTGTTTAGCATACTTGAACGGTAGAGTTCCTTGACAGAATCTGTAGCTTGTCAACTGTGTAACTTTTTTGTTTTTTTTGTTTAACGACATAAATTATATCTACATTGCAAAAGATGTTTAATTTAACATCGTTTTTAATTGCTGTCTAATGTGTAATTTCTACATATAAAACGAATGACTACACCATTAAAAGTGACCAACTAGGTAGCATATTTTAAGTTAAGAAGGGACAATCAGCTTTATATAATGATAACGGTACCAGAAACTACAGCTCTACTATTGTTAGCAAATATATTTAATTAAAAAATCAACCCCTGAAAACAAAGTATAAATCCCGTCTATTGTTACAGGTCTTAAGAAATCATTGCATCATATTTCCTTCATCTTCCCTAAGGGGAAAACTGGGGTTTTATGGGTACGGATAAGGCCAGGTTTCAGCTCGATAGCATGACGGGAAGTCGCCGGTAAGCCATCCGAAGATTTTGCGAAAAAAAAAAAAAAAAAAAAAAAAAAAAAAAAAAGCAAATTAAAATAAAGCATTTAACAGTAAATTATCTTCATAGTAACGCTATACTTGATAAGTTGTTTTTTCTTTCAACTAAACAATTCACAATGATAATTACTTGCTTCTCTTAAGTATTTAAAAGCGACAACATATCTTAGACGTGATACTCCTCGCCCTATGTAACCGCACGACTGTGTTCAAATAGCCATTCGGACTATCTCTTCAGCTTCGCGTCCTCTTTACCACAGAATAACTGCTGAAATATTTCCCTGTACTTGGTGCTCATGTTGTAGTAGACGAAAACATTCGCGCTGGAGTTGATCGTCTCCATGAGGAACGCGAACATCCAGCACGCCATCTGGCCGTTGTTGTAGACGCCGCCCGTGCTGAACTTGGGCTCGATCAGCCACGCGACCTGTAGCAGGTTCCCAGGGCAGAAGCAAGCGATGAGGATGAAGGTGATGAGGATGATCATTCGCACGATTCTCCTATCCCTGTTGGACATGGCGCCGGTCTGCTCGGTCTTGGTCGTGGCCGACGCCCGCCATTTTGTGTTCTGCTGAAGTTGTATGACGAGGGTGATGGTCAGCGCTACGATGGCCACAAATGAGATAAACTGAAGGGACAGCTGGAGGTAGGTGTTTTTGATGAAAACCTGTTCATTCAACATCATGGTGCTTCCAATATACGTCATATTGGTCCAAGGGTCGACCCACCACATCAAACCAAAAGAAACATAGCACGGCGAAATCCCGATAAACGACAGGAAGTAGATCCACACCACGGCCACGAACACGACCTTAGGGGTCAGGATCTGTTTGACCTTGAATGGCAAAGTGATGCACAGGCATCGCTCAAACGTGATGAAGACAGTGATCCAGCACGTGATCCGCGAGAAGCAGATGTGAGGCCAGCCGCCGGTCAGCAGCATGACGTCCCGCGGTTCGAATCCCAGAAACGACCTGTGCAGCCAGGGCGCGGACAGGAAGTTCATCCACAGCGAGCTGATCAGGAGGCTGAGGTCGGAGAGCGCCAGGGCGAACATGGTGACGTTGATGGTGTCCCCGAAACCTTGCTTGTAAAAAACGATCAGGTTGACGGCGTTGCCGACTATCCCCACGATGCAGACCGGACAGCCCAGGACGATGTTGTTGATGAACATGAACAGGTCTAACTCCTCGAGCGTCAACAAGTCCGGAACTACTTCGAAACGGAACGAACCACCGTATGCGTCTGGGCCAAGACGGGAACGGTTATTTCTGTCTTCGGATACCGTTATCATTCTAGCCCTGTTTACTTTTGTGTTGCTGTTTTATTTTTAAAAGCGTTACTTATAGTTAACGGATGAAACCCAACAATGTAACACCACTGTTTTACTCGCTTTAAAATGTTGCAACATTTGATTATATGTTTCGACAAATTACACGACTGCATGCATTTTTGGTGCTAATGTGTGAGCTTGTCCTAAAAAGCCCCTCTGGATGTTATGAAAAGATAAATAGTAGATCTTGGTAGTTGATTACGCTAATGATACGTGTGTTATTTAAACATTAGCGTGAACCTGCCATGTACGTGGCTGGAAGCGCTGTCTCATTAACTAAGAAATAATCACCTCGATTTATAATGAATTTTCTTGAACGTCTAATCATCTTATGATGTTTCTTTTTTTTTTTTACATTAATTTTCGACATTTTCAACAGCTTGAACATTGAACAGTTTCAAATTATTGGTATCTGCCTTGTGTTTTAGTCATATATCGATGCCGTAGATTTCAGAATCTTATTGACTTTTAGAAGGTATACAGGTTTAACGAAAGAGATTTTTAAACTAGGGGGGAAAAAAAAACTTTTCGAGGGTTTTCATTTAATTGACGCTTTTGATCATGGGTGTTCTCAGGTCAATGATGTGATTGGCAACTTCTAACAACTTAACAAATATTCGGAAACTTTATGGTAATTATCTCTTCCTGCTGGTGGTATTGACATAGCTACGAAATAAATAAGGGGGAGGGAGGTTTCGACATCGAAATTATGCGAATAGAAGACAGTTAGCATAATTAAAACAATTAACTATAATTAGTTCAAGAAAGATGCACCGATGTATACCAATTATCGATAAATGATATTTACACGTTTTCCAATTTCTTTTTTCAGTTCATTTCTAAGTGTGACCTTCTAGTTAATCCATTAAATATTTGTATTTATATCCGTCTCGATGGATGATATCCAGGTTTGCTTATGTTGATTTTAAGCTCAATTCAAACTAACCACAAGGACTGAGTCAAAGATCTGTTAACATTGAAAAAAATGTTTTGAAATCGGTTACAACTTTGATGGAATCTTCTTGTTTGAACATGTGTCTTCAATTTATTAAATGCTGATGTCGTCAATGACGAGGCCGGAAATATTTCTTTAAAAAATGTTCATTATGATGCGGGATTACTATAAACAATTCCATTTTCGCTTTTATTTATGGAGTTTTTCCTTAATCTTCGTTTTTTTTTCTCGTTCGCCATCGGTGTGACGATGTGCTAGACTCATTAGTCAAGAAAGCCACAAAAAAAATCAGTAGCAGGATGATTAAACATTTTTGAGAGCCAAATTTCCTTTAAAGAACCTGTCAAGAATTGTGTTCTTAAGAATCAAAACACACTTGTGGTCGACTTGCCGAGCCGCACATAGGTCACTAAAAGCCGCACGCGGCTCGCGAGCCAGGATTTTGCCGACCACCGTACTAGACTTTAGAACATCTAATAAAAAAAAGGGATTGTTTTTGGTTCCAAGCTAGAAGCTGGCCACCGCAAGACCACGCCCAAAGAGTCACAATTGTAAATTTAACCGTATTAAATCGACTTATACGTTCGTCTCGAGTTATGCATGTACCATCACAACAATGTACATCAAAAACAACTAATTGAATTTAGAAACCAAACATTGGAAATATGTGATTCTGAACGAAACGATTTAGTCTTTGATGATTCATGTCCACGTTTTAATTATAGCTGGTCTTCTCTGGACGTATGGAGAATGTTGGGGTAGTAAAATTGTCCATGACGGGAGCTGATGAACACACTTGCATGCCGTTATACATCATTTATTGCTGGCGGTGTTAATGTCCAGATACACCATTTATTACTGGCGGTGTTAATGTCCAGATACACCATTTATTGCTGGCGGTGTTAATGTCTTCATAAACAATTTATTACCGGCGGTGTTAATGTCGAGATGCAATATTTAATACTTGAGGCACTTACACCCATGGATCCGCCATTTAGTTCTGGCGGCACTTACACCCCTGAACACTAAATTTAATACTGGCGGCCCTTACACCCATTGACTCGCCATTAAATACTGGCGGCACTTACTCCAATTGATACTTTTATAACAGATTTAAAAACTAACTGGACACGTTTTCTATTACACATTCACAACATTGTGTCCATGTGGATAGCAGAGGCGCCACTAGCGTTGGTTTCATTTGGTGCCGTAAACTCATAGCGACACCCTCAGTCCCCCACTTTTTTGGACATCCCCCACCCCCCAACGACAACCTGCACCATGTAATGTTTAACCAGATCATCAATAATCTTTTGTAATTATTTTTATCAAATCAATAAGACCTAAAAAAAGACACGAATTAAGAAGAAAACCTAAAATTTAATATGACAACGTTTTACTAAAAACATTCAATCTAAATAATTTTTTTTCGAAACATAAATCTGAACAGTTAAAACTTGGCTTTTCTTGGCTTCAAAGATGCAAGCCTGTCAATCACTTCTTCAAAGTGATCATTCTTCAGCTCATCCCCTCAACAACAAAATCACAACACTTGAAAGATTGGACTATTTCATATTAGTTCATAATAGCGCTTTGATGAGTCGTTATGTTTTTTTTTGTTTTTTTTGAAAGCTAGTCTTACAATTAGCCACAGATACACAGATCGTTACAAATAATTGTTGGATTATTAGAGATTTTAAAAAGTCTAGAAAACTTCAAATATTGATCGATCCTTAACTTCGTCACTTTGCCTGGACAATCTGGAGCCTTGGACGACACGATTCAACATATAAAGCCATAGCAATATATAAAACAAACTACAGAAGCTGCATTTAAGTAAAAACAACTATATATATATATATATATATATATATATATATTTTATTATATATTATTTAAATATTATTTTTTTGTAATTTTTTTTTTACGGACGCAGGCTTTCTGCCGACACGTTCGTTGTTTTGTTGCGTTCTTTTTTTTCAGGTTTTCCCATACCTTGTTTAACTCATTTTTTTTCTTGCTAACCTGATTGCAGTCTCTTCCACAAAACGCCCCATCCCATCAAGGGGTGGCGACAGACGCCCTCTAACAGGGTGTCTACACATGATTCTACTTTGTGATTGTGTCACATCGCAACTGGGGCGAAACTTGCCTAAGCATATTGAAAAAAAGCACCAGACTCTCTGGTGGCTCCATGCTCTTGTGGCTACCTCATGTTGAGGTTTTTGCATTTTTGGTTTAATTCCGTCTGGTTACATCCTGCTCTTGTATTCAACTTAAATATGCTGTGAAACCGACTCAAACGAACTCTGCGAAATTCGCACTTTTCCATTGTGTACAACCAGTGTCTCCGTAAATTTTTTGAGAATCCGAAAGAAATTAGACACACAATTATTGGTCCGTAAATGTCCGTAAGAACTTTAAGATGCACGTACAAAATGAGACAATGTAAAAACATATGTTGAACGTTCTTTCAAACAGGTCTTCTGGTGAGAATGTCATATACTGACCTAAGGCATTGTAAGAAAAGCTCATGTCTTATTATCAAGCGACGTAGAGTAATTGTAATAAACGCATATGTATTTCATTTTTGAAATAATACATATAGTCTTAGAAATATAGACATACAGATATAGAACATAGACATAGTCATAGAAATATAGATATAGAATCATAGAAATATGGTTGTTGTTTTTTTTATTATTTCACCTTCGTGATTTCCACAATTAGGTTTCTTTATAAATTTTTGCTTTTTTATAACACTTCCGGAAATTTAGAATACTTGTCCGTAGATTTGTATTGTTTTGTCTTGGTAACTTTGGGTAACACCACCACCACCCCCCACCCTTCTAAGGGTGTGACCTGGTGCAGCCACAGTACTGCACCCCCTTAGAGACAACACCATTTGTCGGGACGAGTCGATTGAATGTTACTGACACTGACTCACACATCCACGTTTGAGTTTTTCTAACCCTAATAGCAGGTCTCTCTACAACTATAGGACGGATGACAGTCTGACAAACTGGATGATAAACAGTTGATAGTCTCAAAACCGAGCTGTTAAAGAGTTGAAAACGTCAGAATTTAGCCGTTTCACACTAGTCAACCACACAATCTTGTTCTCAAACAGTTGACCACCTCACAATCTAACTGTTAAACAGTCTACAACCTAACAATCTAGCTGTTTAACAGTTGACAGCCTCACGATAAATATGTCAGACAGTTGATAACCTCACAATCTATCAGTTAAACAGTCAATATCAAATGAAATGTAGGAGATTGATAAACTTATTTATTTTAAAAAGCTAACATCCCGTGTCTCTATTTGTGTACCTGATCACGTGACCAGGCTTTCGTCTAACAAAGAATGTATGAAAATTATGAGTGAAAATATGATTTGTTGTTGACAACGCTACGTGTAACTCGTAGAAGCCTTAAAACATCTAATCCATCTCCATTGCTTCCAAGTCCTTAGAAAACACTTACTAAAACGTCATTTCAAAAGAAAAAAAATATTGAACCGTTTTTTTTTTTTAAAACCTTGGCGTCAATAAGATGGGGGAGCGGTGGTTTGGGACTTCATCTGATTAACCTTTCCCAATTGATTATTCATCTCTTCATATAGATTATAGTGTTTCAATCACACCTAAGAACACATAGAGAAGTCTAATTTGTATAGATTCTGAATCTTGCTTTCCGCACACAAATTGTTCTAATCTAAATTTGGCCTACAAGGTGTTTGAAGATAATCACACTAAATTCTTTGAAGATAATCACACTAAATTCTTTGAAGACAATCACACTAAATTCTTTGAAGATAATCTCACTGAATTCTTTGAAGACAATCACACTAAATTCTTTGAAGATAATCACACTAAATTCTTTGAAGATAATCACACTAAATTCTTTGAAGACAATCACACTAAATTCTTTGAAGATAATCACACTGAATTCTTTGAAGACAATCACACTAAATTCTTTGAAGATAGATCTAATCAC